GGACGAAAGAATCAACACATAGTTGAGTTAAAGAGGGGAAGGCTGTAACCATTGATTTCAGGTGAAGAGATGAAGACTTTTAAAAACTTGAGCGGTAAGCCCTTTGCAAAGATATTCAAATCTTTCCCCACAAACGTTTCACCAAGTTCATAGAAATTGTGTATATTTTCATCGGTTATGTAACTTTGGTAATGTTAAGTGGCCCCTTTGAACACAGTTTCTCCTTTGTGCCCCCTTAGGCAAGTTGTCTCCTCCCGCCACTGTGTAATATGATGGAATAAATGTGAAATGTAATCACTATACGGTACAAAATGAATTCATTATGCTTAAAATAGTAACTTCAGTTCATATACTACTAATTTGTCACACCCTAAGGCCTTAAGCAAAGTTAATTAGGATACAAATCAGAAAGCAAAAACCACATCAGAATTGCCAGCAGCTTCTTCAACCCAAGGAAGATTCAGGGTCAGTTTGCCATCAGTTGACCACTCAAAAGCTACCTCAGTCCCATTCAAACAACATTTCTTTGGAGACTCACTTGAGTAGGCCAAGAAATTGCCTCCTCCTTTAACCTTCATCTTGGCACTAAACTCAACTGCGGTAGTTTTGTACTCCAACTCTTGGACAGTTCCTCCACTGTTGAACATGTTTGTAAGTCCAATTGGCGCGAACTTGATGCTGCTTCCGATCTTTTTAATTGGCACAAAGCTGAAAAGCTCGAATGTAGATGGTTGGATGGTGACTTGAATTGCATCAGATTTCGGGGTCATGAGTCGAAGTTCTTCAGCCTGGTTGAGATAGACCACATACTCTTCGGCCTTACCTAGATTGGCTGCTTCTATCTTTTGGTCCCATTCAATTTCTGAAACATGCAATGAACAAGAGATTGGCTTGTAGCAATCTGGGTAGCCTTTGATCCTCTGCTCCTTGGGGTCCCAGCCAGCCCCTTGGCAGTTAAAAGCTCCAATCACACCACCATACTGTGGAATAATTATAATAAATTGAGTAAGTATCTTTATCAATCAAATTGCAACAGACTACAAAATAAGTTGTCCTATATATATAGAAAATGATAAGTATGATCACACAATGCCTTGCTGGTCTCAATTTTACAGAATGTGAGTATCTTATTAATGAGATTGAGGAACATACCTTGTTGAAGTTCCAAATTTTCAGAACAGTTTTGTTGTCGAATAAAGGGTTTTTGAAGAGGCAGTCTCTGGTGGGAAGCGCAAAATGCTGGCACTTGGGAATGGTACCATCTGGGTAAACAAGCTTCTTAATGAGATCGAAATCATGACCAGAAACCGAGTCGCTTACATATACCGGACCCCCACAGATAGCCCTAGATCCTGCATGAAATTTGGCACACAGATGGTCTGATTGGAACATATCCCAATCTGGATGTATGATCTGACCCATCCACATGCTGTTGTAGGCACAATGAATCATATGAACACCTTGTAACCAGTAAACTCCCATAGGATCTCCATTTGGATCCTGGAACCAAAAATCATCACCTGCAATAGAAGAATAACATCCATGATGACATGTCCTTTGGTTTAAAATGAAGTTATAGGTTATACACAAGATCGATTTGTTTGGATTTTCTTACCAACTCTTCCTATAGAGATTTGCTTTGTCCCAAGGAAGAAGAAGTCGTTGCATTGTTGCATGCTAGCAATAAGTCCAGTCCCATTGAAGTTCTTCTGAAGAGAATGAGTCAGCCCCTTGTAATAAGCCTTTGCAAGCTCCACACGGCCTCCGTATTCCTCAGATACATATTCAAGAGTCTATACGGAAAATTCATGTAAACAGTTAAAGTCTGCAAGTGAATATAGATAATCAAATAAGAAAATACAGCAGAAATTAAAATGGTGATATGTTGAATACTTACATGAATAACATCCACTTTGACTCCTGTGATACCAACTTTGGAAAGGTAGGAGTGCATAGCGTCAAACAAACTATCGGCTTGATCAGGATTAACAAGCCCGATCCCGCCCTCAACGATTTTCACCACAGCAAGGTCAGTCATGGTCCCATCAAGTCCAGGAGAGACTTTGCAGGGGATGACCTTTGCACTGAGATGGGTTGCACCTGGCCTAACACCACCCCAGGCACCACAGAGAGCATGCCATACATATATATCATCCAAACCTTTAAATTTGGTTCTCAAATCGCTTGTGAAGGCCTTCATTCCATAGTTATCAGCTCCGCAAGAACAGCTTCCACAGCCTTCATTAGAAGCACTGCTTTCTTCTTCACCAATTATCTCATTCAACTCTTGCTTCAGCTTCTGAATTTTTGTTTCAAACTCGGACAAGTCAGTGACTCCAGATCGAATGGCCTTGTCACGATTCTTCTCAGCATGCTCTATTTCAATTGCCTTGGCTATCAACAACTTTGGCTTTTTGGGATCAAATGAAGGAGCATCAGGGCCCAACATAGACCCTCCTCTGTAGTTCCTGAACTTCTTGCACTCCTCAAACCTGTGAAGCCTAGCAGTCATTTGAGTCCCACCAAGAACTAGATTTTTCGCGTCCTCATGCAGGTCCTCACCATCCAAATTGATGCTTTGCCAGCCATCATCAATGATGAGAAACCTAGGGGATACACCGCCTTCGACAAATTCGTTGACACCATGCCAGACACCAACAGGTTCTACAGTTAAGTAGAAGGCATCCCAAGTACACCAACCAAATTTGTCAACTAGATTTGGGACTGTCTTCTCTTCTAACAGCCTAAAGGTATTGAGATGGACCCTGAGAGCACTATAGGCTTCTTTCATCAAGTTGTAGGGATTTTCAGAGGCATGAACATAAGCGATGGCATCAAAATTCAATGCTTTCACTTGGGTAGAACCACTCTCAGCACAGATCATTACATGATCATCAGTGCCAGGATGAAGAGCAGACCTAAAACTGCCTTCAATAATGGGCAGGATTATCACATAGGACTTTATCTCTGGGACATCTAAGAGCACCCATTGGGTTTCCATTTGCAAACTTGACCCAGAATTCCCCACCCACATTGTAGACCACCAGGTCTTGAACCTAAAGATGCTAAGGAAATCCCTGTTACTGAATCTACCCAAGGAGTTCATCAACCTATCTGAGGGCTCCTCCTTGTTGAATCCAAGGAACCCGCCCTTGTGGGACAAGGCACGAACGCCTTGGAGCAGAGGAAATGGAGCATCAGAAGATTGGGAGGTTGAGTGGAAGTGATTAAAAGTGACATTGCTTGGAACTTCAGAGAGCAATTGAACACCTTTGACACTAAACTTTCCATTAGACAAATCAAAGTATTGTTCTAAACTGTTGGACCGACACAAACTTAGGATTGGACCAACAGGATCATTAGGAGGTGCCATGAGGACAGAAAAACAGAGAAAGGAAGACGAATTACAAGAAGTTCTACAACTCAAAGCTAGCTAAAAAGAAAACCTTGGTTAACGGGAATTTACAATTTCTTGACACACTTGACTTGTACAGAAGCTATAAAAGAGAGATCACAATTCACCAAAACAAAACACACACACAGAGCAAAGAAAGTAAGAAATGAATGAGTGAAGAGTGATTTACAAGTGATTGAAGAGTTTGGTTTTGCACTGAAAAAATGGGAAGGCTGTGCTGGGATTTATAGGCAGAGGCAACAGAGAGAAGAATGGAAAAGGTGGCGTGGAAAACTTGTAGTAAAAATAGAATCAAGAAAGATATACTGACAAAGAGAGTTGTTCGGATGCTGTGGATTTATGGTTGGTTTTTGGGCTCTGCTTTCGTCTTTTTTTCCTTTCTATTTTTGGGTGCATCAGGAACCTTATTACATGAAAAACGAACCGACTCCATGGACAGTGACTGAAACTTACTGTAACATCCCAGAAAGTGCGACCAGTCGAGCCAAATTAAAATTAGAAAGTAGTCAATTTTTAATCCACAGTAACAGTAGAGTTTAAAGTTAGAAGGGTCCATGTATATGCAACTGCCATCCATGCATATGTGTGTTTTGGGCATGATTATTTTTTCTGTTTTTTAATGGGGACTGGCAGTTATGAATTTCAATGAGACTAGGCGTCAGAAAACTGGAAGTTTCTGCATTTAATAAAAGAAAAAAAAAAAAAAAAAACTGGAAGTTTCTGAGAATGAGATTAGACGTTACATTATTTATTTGACCTAACTAATTTATTAGGATTGGATTTCCCAAATATGATTTCTCAACTTTCATTAAAACTGGTCATTGACAATTTTTTTTGTTATACATGCGATATTGAAAGGAGGAATCGAACCTAGTAACCATTTTGATTTTGGAAAGGCAAGAGGTACATTTGAGTTTGACAGCAACAAGAGATACATTTGAGCTTCTGTGCAATGGGTCACTCTTAATTTCTCTCATCTTTGAATTCGGACGTTGCCACATGGGCAATCAACGGCTAGGACGTGTTCACGCACCGACAACTGACCATAGCAATTCTCTTCTAACGACCCAACAAATATGAAGTCTGCTGATGACATAGGAGAAGGATGACAAAAAGGCACATAGGGAAGTTTTTCTCCTTACAACTAACATTCAACCTTTTTTTTGAGGAATTGAATCCTTTTTCCATTTTCCCTTAAATATTTATGATTTATTTATTTTGGTTGAACTCGCACCGTTTCACGAGGACTTTAAGGCTACGGATCCCTTGTGGGGACAAAGTCACCTAATCTCAGCTAAAAAACGAAGAGTTACACAAAATCTTTGGTTTGGTTCTAAACGAAAAAAAGATATTTTTAGTTTGGTTCTCAATTTCTTTTGCCACGACAGGTTTACTATTTCAATAGAAATAAAGAATAGAATAATAAAAGGTAACACGCCTTTTCTTTTTCTTTTTCTTTTTTCCATCTGAATATACTTAATAAAATTCTACACGGTTTATCTGAATGTGATAGGCTCATAATATGCCTTTAAGAAATGGAATTCAACATTTCACAAATTCCAACTTTATTCATATTGGAATATACTTGAACTTCAAGATGATTTTATTCGGAAAATTTCTGCAAGAATAGTATCTTTTTTTCTCACGAACTTCTGCAGTAAGATTTTTAACATAGCCTCAAGGGTCTCTACCATAGAGATATGCTTGACATATCAGAATGAATTACTTGAGCATGCATACAGCAGCAACAGACCACCTTAACTACACTACGAAAATCGATGTAGCATGCCTCTTAGTCATTAGTTACATTATAAATGCATTCATTTTGCTTGAGGTTGTATGTACCTAGTGAGGAAGAAGATTGATTGTTGGGACGCAGAAAGCACTCATCTTGCACTGGGTCTAGGCACCATTAAGAAGCTCCGTACGGTAAAAGCGCAGCAGCCACAATCCTACCTTCCTCATTCAGTATGTTGTAAGTTGATATGGCGTTTCTCTGAAACAAAAATGAGACATTATTATGAACTTGGTAGTAGAACCCACCACTGTTATAAAGCCAAGTTGAAAATGGAGCACCAATTGCAATATCAGTTTTTTAATTATCCACTCATTGGAACTACAGGCCTCAATCAAACATCGGGAGAGGCTAATATAGGACTTAAAGTTGAGTCTGTGTTCAACTTAGAAGGAGGTATGCAAATAAACTGAAGAAAGATGGCGGGTTAGGGCCTCACACAGAAAACAAGTTATAGTCAGGATATTTCCTAATACAAATGCCATTTGGTTGGTTATACTCTGGAGAGAATAATAAACTTAAATTTGGAAAAATCACCAATTCAGAACATAAAGATCACCTTGAAACTCATGGAGGGGGAAATACTCTTCATAATCTTAGAAAACCCCCGATTTCATGGGGAAGTATAACTAAGAGAAAGTAAAATTTGGTTACAGATTTTAACTCTAGCCTCCTGGCGGCTCCACATTTGAAACTAGATAAGTCTTCTCCTCCAGTTAGTGTCACATGTCAAACTACCCAATAGAACTCATAATTGCCAATGCTGAGATTTAAACACTACGCAGCGGATAAGAGAGTGAATTTATTTGAAACTGAAAACAGGGGCATTGGATCTAAATCAAGTTCTCCCCTTTCCCACTCAAATGAAACACTTAATTTCTTTCACTTTTATCCCTTGTGGCATCATCCAATTCCAGTAAAGCAAAAACCCCTGAAGAGCTAGTTCATAAATACCTACCAGTGAAATTGATGGTCCCAAATATACAAACTATTGTCACAAATACAGCCCACTGATGTACAGGGAAAATATACGAAAGGCTCCACACTATCATAGTGATTGCTAAAGCTTGCATAAAGTGGGAATTAGGTTGGTTAATAAAGAATTCAAATTAACAGGAGACATGATCAAATCCCCCATCGCATTTGTTTGTAGGAGGGGAAGTGCTACTAATCCTTGTCTGGATATGCAGAAAGAAAGTTCTCACCATACTAGAGTAGTAATTCATTGTACATCAAGATTTTAGGGGTCCATGTGGAACCTAGAAATGAAATTACACTTTCAGTGGCAAGTTACTGTACTTCTGTAATACTTATATTCTAAATTATTTGAATGTGATATTATTGATCAAACCCCCAATTCCTGATATCCTCTACTTTCCTACTTTCCTAAAGCTTCCTATATATAACATTAGGACAGCAGCATTTAATATTTGATGAATAATGTAGCAACATCGAATTTCCTTACAAATCAATGTTAGGTATTCATTTGTCAGATAAATCAGAACATGAAGTGGCCACAAGAAGAATAATGTGCAAGAAAAAATGAATAAAATAGGCACAATGATGAAATATACCGAGTCAACGGCTTCTAACTTCATTCCCGTAGAGCGAATGAAGCGTCGTAGTTCAGGATCTACGGGTTCAATGTTTCTCCCAGTGCCAAGAATCAAAATCTCTGAAATAAATTATCAAAATAAGATGTCAATGAAAAAAGCAGTTAGCCAAGAATAATAAGAACGGTAACAACAAATAACTTCAGAATAAAGAGTAACCATATTGTTTAGTGAGGAAGGGATGGCCAGACACAGCAAGGGAAAGAGGAAAATAAAGTATTTTGGGAGATACAAATTTCAATAATCCCTTGTGTCTACTATCATTTTGGTTGACATTTCAATTTTTCCATCGGCATAGAATGTACTATTAGGTTATTACTGTTTCAGATTTGGAAGCAAGAGATGAAACATGATTACAATATTATACGTTTCAGTACACAAGTTAACAATATAAGGGAAGTCAGTAAGCTTCCACATTCCAACTGAGAATATAAAGGTTTTTCACCAAATGCTCTTGCCGAATGCTCTATATACGATTGGTTAGCTGGGTGCCCATGTTTCATACAAAGGAATTGATCACACATTGACTTACTGCTTCTTACAGAAAAGAAAATTGTTCTAAATTGTTCAAAGTTCTGTCTATGTGTCTACCTAAAGTAATTGATGAAGACAATCGAGAACAAGGTGCACCTGACAAGAAGGAAGAAAAAAGATAACAAATTTGGAGGAAAAATAACGGGATTAAACCGAAATTTGAAATTTACCAGGTATAGGCCGCACAATTTGGAACACTGATAAGCTGCATCACAACATAAAATAGATGAAATTTAGATAAAACTGCTATTTCATTGCTCTACTTTATTTATTTATTTTGGGTAGATTTCACTGCTCTAATTAAGCTTTAATTGATTATTAAGAGTTTTATCCTCAATTAACAAAAATGCCAGAAAAACAAAATTAAAATTGCAAGCATATAGCAAAGAAAGACCTATCAGGAGTGACATGAGAGAATTTGGTGGGAGCCCAAGACATCAACATATTTCCAACACAAAGCAAGCTTCCTTCATAATCCACCCCATTCACTCTGAATCCTGTCTCAGTGTACCTACATCATCACCACAAGCGGCACAACTGTAATTATTAGTTGTTTTTCGGTTTATAGACTAAGCAAAAGTGAATTCATTTGAATAAGAGAAAATTAATTGAAGTAACAAAGGAGGAGGCAGGCAGGCACCGTTGAAAGCGAAGCTGGTCATCAGGGACGTTGTCGATGAGATTGATCTGATCGTAGAGAGAGAAGGCGCGCCTCAGAGACGGAAGTGATTGTTGGTTTGTGGGCTTTGGGTGGGCTTCCTTCCGGAGGCTTCGAATGAGGTTTGGCAATGCCCCCACACCTCTCGCTCTCAACCCCATTTGGTTCTCTCTACATTTGATTTTCCGAGTAGCTCTAAAAATAACTCAACACCCAACTGTGAGTTGAGATCCTCCTTTTCTTTTTCCTTTTTCATTTTTGGAGTATAGACGCGCGGCTATACTTTTAAAATATTATATTTTGGGCGTATAGCCGAGGGGCTATACTTTTAAAATATTATTTTATGAGTAGAGATATTCTATTTTTGGCGTTGCCAGAGTGGTCATGCAATATTTTTTCATTTTGTATAGTTTTCTAAGTTTCATGTTGGTTGTCTGAAACTCAGTCTTAGCTTTTGTCCTGCGGAGTGATGAAGATATTGGGAGTACATGGTTTTATTGCTTTCTCTGGCTGTTGATTTCTGCACTTATGCAATATGCATCATATTGGGGTTTGGCTTTTAAATTAGTTTCTTCTGTAAGTGTTATTATATCAATTTTAAACAATGCTCAGTTGTCATTTCCAGGTTCTTGGCAGGATTTAATTAGTTTCTTCTAAAATGATTCAAAATGGATTGTTGCCGAAAGTTAAAAAGTACTTCATATTTTCATAAAACATCAAACAAAATAAATGGAGTGAAATTTTTTGATATATTGATCATTGGAAACGGATATCTTTTTCAAACAGTGAACCCTATAATTAGGTTGTACCCTATAAAATGCTATTTTTATAAGGGAGTTTCACTAAAACACCCAAAATAGGAGCTGAAATTATAAAAAAACCCAACACCCAAAACACTTTATAAACACACCCAAAACCCATCATTACACACACTCAAAACCCATTTATAAACACACCCAAAAAATATACAATTGTTGATTTTGGGGTTGATTTTGGGTGTGTTTCTATGTTTAAATAGTGTGTGGGTTTTTTTATAAATACATGTCTAGGATTGGGTTTATTTATAATAATCTATTTTTATAACTAATAAAAAAACCGTAGAATAGCCGTTCGGCTATACTATTTAAATACAATATATTTAAATGGTCTAGCCGCTCGGCTATACTATTTAATTAAAAAAAAATTATGAAAAAGGGACCCTCCTAGTTGCATTAGTTTATACTTTATAGATACTAGCCTCTCCGCACGCGCTTCCTTGCCCGCGAGAGGTTTTTTTTTAAAAAAATTAAAATTTATTTTAGAATTAAAAAAGATAATGGGTAGTTGTGTTCCATAAAAATAGGCCATTATCTAATTTTTCTTTTAATTTTAATTTGTTTAAATATGAAAAAGTATTAATTTACCATATTATCCTCATTTAATTAATAATTTCAATTCTTAATGTTTGCATTAACCAAGGGCATTTTCTGGTATTTTGAATGTTTCACCATTCTCTACCTTTTGCTTTATATATATAGATTAACTTGGTATAGCTGAGCGGCTATGCGAATAAAACATGTATGTGTCATATTCGGCAAAATTTTGGCAAATTACAACTTAAAAGTTTGGCCACTATATAATGCTCTTGCAAGAGGCTTTTTTTTAAAAAAAAAATTAAATTTATTTTAGAATTAAAAAAGATAATGGGTAGTTGTGTTCCATAAAAAGAGGATCCATTATCTGATTTTTCTTTTTATTTAAATTTTTTTTAATATGAAAAAGTGTGAATGGACCATATTATCCTCATTTAATTAATAATTTCAATTCTTAATGTTTGCATTAACCAAGGGCATTCTTTGGTATTTTGAATGTTTCACCATTCTCTGCCTTTTGCTTTATATATATAGATTTTAATATAATATATTTAATTTTTTTAATACATATATTATTTGTATTCAATAATATGTAATAATTATGTGTATAATACATGAATTTTTTGTGTACTATTGAAACTTTTATAAAAAAATACGTGTATTAAATATGAAAATTACGTACGTATATATTCAATATGAGTATTGTACGTTTGCTTTTTAAAAAATGTGAATTTTACCGAGTTTTTAAGACTTGTACAAAAGACGGATGTATTATTGAAATATAGATGCGTACGTATATAATACAATATTAAATATGAAATTGCTAAATTCTTTATATGGGTAATAATTTTGGAAAAGTAATCAAAAGGGGACAATAAAGACTCGAATAATGGCCTAATAGTAATGGATAATGCTCTAAACTATTCTTATCGATAAAAGAAAATTGGAAAAAATATAAAAGAAGAAGAGGAACATATATATATGTAAAGCGTATAGCCGCTCAGCTATACGATTTATGAAAAAATAAAAAATAAAAAAAGCCGAGTAAAGCCGTACGGCTATAATATTTTTTCAAAATTAAAAACCGAGTATCGCCGCATGGCTGTACTATTTCTTTTTAAAAAATTAGAAAAACGCTTATAGTCGGGCGGCTATACTATTTATTTTAAAAAAAAGAGCCGAGTAACGCCGCAAGGTTGTACTATTTAAAAATAAAAATAAAAAACAGAGTCTAGCCGCCCGGCTATACAATTCGGTTATTCGCAGCAATGGTCCCTCAACTATACCCATATTTACAGTTTGGTCACTCAATTCAATTATTAGTTGCAGAGGTCACTCAATTA